GTTGTTCTATTATTGTATTTGGCAGGCTGAGATATGGTATGTTTTGGATCAGAAATCAACACAAGAAGTAAAACTGCAAATGGTTTTTAATGTTTGTAAATTAGTGGCAAGAAATATATCAGCAAGTAAAATGTTTTATTTGGGGACATTGTAACATCCACGGAAGTGCGAAATTGAGCAGATTGCAGTAGGAGTTGCCAAGTTGAGATTATCATACCAAATATGAATTGATCCAGGCTTTTGTTGGGCATGTATTCATAAACCAAAATCCTATCAGACCCCTCAGTACAGTATCCAAGAAGCTTCACCAGATTCCTGTGCTGAAGTTTAGCGATGCAGATTGCTTCATTCATGAATTCAACACCACCTTGCGCTGACTTTTTAGACAGACGCTTCACAGCAACCTCCTGTCCATCTTCTAGCTTACCCTAAAGAATTTTATTTTAAAATGAATTCATCTTCCTCATAATTGGGAGTTTCCCATAAACCTGTGGCAAGACAGGCTTACCCAATAAACAGGACCATAGCCACCCTCTCCAAGCATATTGTCAGGAGAGAAGTCGTTGGTGGCACGAACTAACCCGGAAAACTCAAAAAAGGGAAGCTCTATCTCTTTGTTTTCAAGTTCATTCAGGAGATCCTTACCGTGGATTTGTTTAGACGATATTGCTACAACATTCATGAGAAACAATGTAAGCTTATTGTTGAAGTTGATTTGAGTCCAGAAGCCTATCGAAATCAGCGGGAAAGGATGCATGTCTATTTACCTTGTTTTGTCTCTGGGTACCTCCTCTTCCTCTTCTGAATGCACAACAGGAGACCAAGGACCAACAGCACCAAGCTAAGAGATAATGGCAAGATCACAATAAGTTTTTTCACTTTCTTCCCATCAGATTCATCTACAAAGAGACAATTTTCAAGTTAAAAAGAAAAAGTAACAAATGTTAGTTTAGTACTTATTGGAGATGTAGAAGCATAACACACCTAAGCTTCCATTTTCTACCATACATAATCAGTTTTTAAGTTCTGAGTCATTATACAAAGAAAACTGGAAACTATCAGATTAGTAAAAGGAATCGTGGATGTTTAACATCTCGAAGAAAAATGACCGAACAAATGGCAGATGTATTACCTAACTCCAACGAAGACAGCCTGATGTAAATATCTTGACCAGCCCCAGGCATCACTTTCATGTCAATAAAACCCCCGAACCAGAGCAAGCAACCACTTCCTCCATGGCTTATGTCTAAGATAGACAAAGCAGTGCAAGAGCAATTCTTTAAGCATACTGTTCGGCATTCCTCCAGGGATTTAGTTCGATTAAATGTGGAGTTATGCGTATCTGGAAGCTTTATGTTTGGTTCGTTTTTTTAGTGTGTGTTTTTAGGTGTTTTTTTTATTGGGAATGTAAAAGGGTGTATTGAAAATGTAAAAAGATATGTTGGGATGAGACAGTTATTAATAAAATAAACTGAAAAAACCATAAAAAAAAGCAAACAAACAGTAAAATTTGAATACTTCAGAAATCCATCTCCATTGCCACAATGTAGTGGTGTCTTTCTAATGCAACCATCTGACCAATCCCTTACTCCAATTTTCAGGATTCTTGGGATCAAAATTTTTCAGATATCCACAAAGAGCTGAATTTCCAAAGTCGCTACTTCCATACGAACCACATAATCCATAACTATCACAATTATCTGTTGGTGTAGACAGGTAAATTATCCAACCCTGGCTTAGATGGTCCCATGTCCAACTTTGCCCAACACCAGTTGGACTCAAGGTAAACCTAGAAAGAGTTGGGCCGAGGAGCTTGAAACTATAATATATCTCCTTACTGCCGTAAACAACTTCATAGGAGAATATTGGATTAGCTGTTAATCCAGGAATTCCACTAAATCCTTGGCCATCTATACACCAACCTGCCATTCCTTCTCACCAAATTTTGTGGAGATCCACTTGAATCACAGTGATTTGTATAGTCCCCGGGAGCTGGATCCTCGGAACTCTTCCATGACGAGAAATAAACTTCTAAACCAGTAACCAAATTACGGCCCAACTTCATTCCAGGTAGAAATGTGTCTGTTGGATAATGAAAGCTCTGCCACAGATAATTTTCTGGATTACCATCATGTGCATCTCTGACAACAAGGTTTCCATTGTCAAACAATTGCGCAACTGGATTCGGTGCAGCCATTGAAGAATTACAAGACCATATGATGCCATTGGCCTCGTTGCGAACTACTATAATTCCTGGCTTGATGATCTCCAAGGAACCAGCCGTATTCGTGATGGGAACTTCTCTATTTGCAACCCACACCACAGTTTGGACAGATATTGTCTTGTACCATATCCGGACGTACCTGTTTGTGGACTTACTTGGGCTAAAAAAACCTAGCTCGAAGCTCCCTCCAGCTGAAACTATTGTGTCACCATCTCTGATAACTTGAGTTTCTGTTATGGTATCTATGCACAAAATCTTCTTAATCAGTAAAAGAAGTGTAATTACATTAACTAAAGGGTGAATGGTATTTGTCTTGTTCACGCTTTCTGATATTCTTTTATTAATTACTTCTCTCTATCTATTGGCTCGCCAAGAATGTAAATATGTATCTCAGTTGTCTTAAGTTAAATACTAATCAACTGACATCACAAGTCTTTCCCTCAAGACTCAAACTTAAGGCAACTGGTATTAATTCGCTCTTCGAGAATAATTATGGATATATCCCAGTTGTCAAATGAGTGAAAAAGAACAAGTCACTGTCAACCGAGTCGTGCTTCAAAGCTTATGGTCTTTTTTAATTCAACCATAATTCACTAAAATTATGAGAATACAGCATTGAAGTTTGATATACTTCAATATAAAAGTCAATCTCGGCTACAATTGAAATGACTCCATGCAGCATGCCGGAGTATGATACACTGCTTATCAAGTAATTTACATGAATCTATCACAAGTGGGGTGCAATCAATTGTGGTTTTAAGCTTAAGACCTCTAGTTACAGTGGATTTACGATTGGCTAAGGAAGTGAGGTCAGGAATGGCATATTCTCATCCTGTAGATATCACTAGAATATCAACCTCTGGTCAACTTTTCCATTCTCAACCTATGCAACTCTCTATAGCTCTCTCCCTCACACAGACACGCACACACCCACAAACACAAATACTCAACAAATGTAAGCTTCTAACAGTACTGTCGTGGAGTTAATACAAGCTTGATGTTGTAGTTTAAAACATAGTTAGATTTGTAAGTTTGAGCTGTTAAAAGAGAACAAATTCCCTGTTGTATGTGCAGGAGCTTGATGAGCTTTACTTGGTGACTTCAGACGCAAATATTAATAAGGGCCTGACTTGACATTCTTGTTTATCAACAATCATACTCTAAGATCATTTAGTTTACAGTCAACTCTTCCCTCCTTGTTGTGATCAATTTACTAGAATAACACTCTACTACTCTCAGATATTTTATAGAGTTCTGGGTTTAAATAAACATGGCAAGTTAACGGAAGATGACAACCTAACTTGGACGTGACTGGAAGAGATTGTCTATTATATTACTTGATAGAGCAGTCGGAAAATTTTTATATTATTTATTAGGGCTGAACTTCAACTAATTTCTTGTCATCTTCTTCCCAGCAGTACCAACAAACCGTTACAAGAAACTGATTGAATTAAACAAAGAAATCACTGTTCTCATTTGACTGGAACATCATCGCACACTCACAGACACGCAGAGGAAACATATAAACAGAGACGCTGACTTAGCTTGGCATTTCTTCAAACAAGTGGATTGCATTCTATTGGGATTAAACTAGAACAAAGGTAAACAAGCAATTGAATTTGCTCTCTCTCCCTCCACTCATTAATTAATTCATGAAAAAACATATAAAAAATTAATCTTCAAACTCAAGTCACCAATCTCAGACAATTATTATCCGAAAAATGCAGATTAAGATAACTCAAGAAATAAAATAGAACCTTATCTGATGGTGTTGGTAGAAAGGATTTGCTAAGTCTCCGCTCCAATGGCTTACAACGAAGGCGCCCAGAAACAGCAGAATGATCCAATTGGCTCATGAGGCTGCTAAAAGGCGTATATTTCCTGATTTTGTATAAAAGAATACTCTTTCGCGTTTCTCGAATATTTTTCGTAGATTTTGAACGTCAGAGAGGATAATGTTGTTGATTTGTTGTTTATGGTTTGCGGACAGCATTCAGGTTTTGTTAAGAATTAGTACTTAAAATGCTTAATTATTAAATTGATGAAATTTCGTCTTACTTGCCGAATTTAGAGTTCATAATCCTGGTTAGGAAGCCATTTTGACTTGTGTATATTTCTTGACTTTGAATTTTCCAATGTTACTAAAAATGTCAACTAATCTTAACAAAATTGGTCATATTTTGGTAGTTTAATCAACAAAACCTTGTCAAGTTTGTAACAGACATTTGCACTTTTTTAACCTCCTAATTTACAAACACACATGATCTTCTCCAATGAAGCTCGTACTATGAAAAAAGATCAGGAATTTAGCGACCTTGATACAGCTACAATTTACATAATTACATGCTAGAACCAAAGTAAGAGCAACTATATGCCTTCTGGTGCACCAGATATCAATCCCTTTGCAATTTATGCGAAAATCGGCTTACTTACCGAGCTTGTAACGTTGTCATGGTCATTTCATTGCTGACAATGTTTCTTTCCACGAAAAAACCGGGAGGAGTCACTTCAGGGAGTATCCCATCGCTTCCTAACATGACAACCACAGACGACATATCAGGCCTATCTTCTGGACTTTGTTGCACGCATAATAGTCCCACTTGGATTGCTCGAAGCACTTCTGTCGAACAATATGAATTGGTCAGATTAGCGTCGACCAATTCCAGGGCTCTTCCTTGCCGATTAAACCTCCAGGCCTGCATTTCGCAAGCACATTATCATAACGGATTCCAGAATTGTTGATATGGATTATTATAGAACAAGATATATCACTCACATGTCCCAAAATGTTGAGGTAGTGGCCTTCTTGAACAAACATCCTGTTTCGCTTACCACTGATGATCTCGAGTACTAGGACCCCGAAGCTGAACACATCAGATTTTATGGAAAAGAGGCCATCTCCTGCGTACTCAGGAGCCATATAGCCGCTGCTTGACAGAAACATCACAAAAAAGATGTCACGAATTCATTTCCACTCATGATAAATCCTGTGCTGTTAAATTTCTTCTTGATTTGGAAGCATTTGTGTTCTTACTGTGTCCCAACCACTTTGGTTGTGTTGTCAGCGGTCTCACTCCCTCCAAAGCTTCTAGCTGTGCCGAAGTCTGAAATTTTCGGGTTCATATCAGCATCCAGCAAAATATTGCTTGCTTTTAGATCTCTATGTATGACCCTAAGTCGGGAATCTTGATGAAGATAAAGAAGACCCCTAGCAATGCCCTGGATAATGTGGAACCGTTTACACCAGTCAAGTGAGCTGCTTTTCCTTTGATCTGCACAAAAATATAATCCAGATTTAGTTTTTCTGTTCCTGCATTAATACAGAGACTTGACAACACAAAAAAGCCATCCTCTTTTGTTTGTTTTTGACAAATAAATTCTAGAAATGAATCAAAATGTTTCTAGATTACATGCACACCTCCTAATACAAGACGCAGCAGATTGCAGTATCTGTTGATATCACCACACCAAATACTGAGTTCAGAAAAAGAAAAGAAGAACATACCAAATATGAATAAATCCAAGCTTTTGTTGGGCATGTATTCATATATCAGAATGCTTTCAGCCCCTTCAATACAACATCCTAGAAGCTTCACAAGATTACGGTGCTGAAATTTAGCAATGCAGATTGCTTCAGTCATGAATTGGTCAACACCATGCTTATTATTTTCTGAGAGACGCTTCACAGCAATTTCCTGTCCATCTTCCAGCTTTCCCTGTAGTATACGATCATTAAGATGAATCTGTGCTCTTTAACATCGAGTTTCAGAAGTACATTTGAAATGGAATGGAATGTCAACAGACGTACATTCTTGTAACCAGACTAACAGAAATGTGCTAACCAACAGGCAGAAACAGTTCCATTTTGTATATGTGAACTAAGAAGTTATCAGAATTCCAGTTATTGCAATAAGTGCAAACTTCAACCTTTAAAAGATTCAATAGATTGTCAAACAATTAGGTGATTCCATGTTCCTGACTGACACCTACCACATTCGTGCACTGATTCAAAAGGTATTCCCAGCAGCAATAAAATGAAGAGCTTCCAGAACTACCTCAGCACTCATTAGTTTCCATTACTATCACATTCATTCTTGAATTAAGAAGCAAAAACAGGCTTACCCAATAAACAGGACCATAACCACCCTCTCCAAGTTTGTTGTCAGAAGAGAAGTTCTTGGTAGCTTTAAGTAATGTAGACAACTCAAACAGGGGAAGTTCTATGTCTTTGTCATGGCGTTCACTCATAAAATCCTTTTCATCGAACTTTGCTGCAAGATGAGCAACTTCAGGAGACTTATATCTAGAAATGAGTGAATCCAAAAGGTTGCTGAAACCAGCAGAAAGAGATGCACATGGGATACCTTGTTTCTCCAATTGATGCATCTTCTTCCTCCTTTTGATATAAAATAGGATGATGAGGCCTAACAGAAGAACCATACCAAGTGATAACGGCAGAGCAGTGACAAGTACTTTTACTTTATTCCCATGAGAATCGTTGGAAGTGACTGCCAATTTCGCAGTACAAAAAGATAGATTTAGGATAAAAGAAGGTATCCTTTGACTGTCATCCTCAATGAGTTAAAAGGACTTGTGTACTATGCAAACTCATCAAACAAAGCTGATATAGTGTAAGAAGAAAGGAAATACTGGACACATTAAAAGGCATGACTAAAGCAATATAACCCATTGAGAGAGGTATGGTATCACATATCAAGATGCAAAGTAGACATCAAGAAATTTACATAAATGCTGTTATGAAGAAACCAATATGCCGAAAACAACACCCAGACTGAGACACAAAAATCGTAACAAAAATGTAAAGTTCAACATAAGCATTTGGCAAGTAAAATGATATACCTAACTCCGAAGAAGCCAACCTGATGTAAATTTCTTGTCCAGCTCCAGGTATCTTTTTCATATCAACTAAATTCCCGTACCAAAGCAAGCAGCCACTTCCTCCATTTCTTATGTCCAAGCTGGAATAAGCAGTGCAGGAGCAGTTCGCCGAGCATACTGTTCTGCATTCCTCCAAGGATATATTTCTGTTGTATGTGGAGTTATGAGTATCTGGCAGCTTAAAGTTTGGATACTTCAGGAATCCATCCCCTTCACTACAATTTAGGGGTGTTTTCCTAACACAACCATCTGACCTGCTTCCCTTACTCCAATTCTCAGGATTCTTGGGCTCAAACTTTTCCAAACATCCACAAAGAGCAGAATTTCCTAAGTCACAACTTCCGTTAGGTCCACATAACCCATAAGTATCACATTCATCATTTGGTGTCGATATGTAAATCTTCCAGCTATTGGTTAGATTGCTCCATGTCCAACGTTGGCCGACCCCTGATGGACTCAATGTGAACCTTGAAATGCTGGACCCTATGAGCTTATAACTGTAATATACCTCCTTACTATTGAAAACAATTTCATAGGAGAATATTGGATTTGCTGTCAAGCCCGGCTGCCCACTAAATCCTTGGCCATTCCATGGTCCTGATCGAAAAATCTCAGTCCCACCCTTTCTCTCCACATTTTGGGGATAGCCAGTGGGATCACAGTGTTTAGTGTATTCCCCTTGAGCTGGATCCTCAAAACTCTTCCATGATGAATAAATGACTTCTCGACCAGTAACAAAATTACGACCCAACTTCATTCCAGGCAGGAGTGTGTCAGTAGGATAATCAAAACTCTGCCAAACATAATTCTCTGGATTATCATCACCTGCATCTCTGACAACAAGGTTTCCACTGTCCAGCAGTTGCGCGACTGGATTTGCTACAGCCATTGAATAATTAGAAGACCATATGACGCCATTGGTTCCATTGCGAATGACAAGAAGTCCTGGCTTGGTGATCTCTAAGGAACCGCCTGTATTAGCAATAGGAACTTCTCTATTTGCAACCCACACCACAGTTTGAGGTTGAGTAGGTATGGTAGTAGTATTAAACCAGATCCCCACGTACCTGTTAGTCGACGTGCTTGGGCTAAAAAAGCCAAGCACGAAGATTCCACCCGCTGAAACAATTGTGTCACCATCTCTGATCACTTGAGCCGGTATTATGGTATCTGTTACACAGAAAATCTGTTGAACCAAGAATGGAAGTAAAAGCAGATGAACTAAGCTAACCATTTCTACTGGTGATATCTTCATAGTTTCCAATCCATTTGTAACATATGTATATTGATTGGCTCCTTAAAATTATGTGTTCCAGTTGGTGACAATAGCTAAAGTCAACCAAGCTGAAGGTATTCTTTATTTGTACAATAATTAACTGAAATTCTTAAATGAGAGCATTGAAGATTTGAAGTTATTCACTTTCCGATACATGAAAATCAAGGTGGGCTCCCAGGAATATGACTTCATGCAGCATGCTCCAGTACAAAACACTACTGACCAAGCCAGTAAGATAAAGTTATCGAGCCTGGCGTAATCAACAATGTAATTCACCCTAACTCATGGTAATTTACTAAGTAGCATCACTAGAGAATATCCTACATCTCATTCAAAAAATACAAAATTTAAAAAAATCCAACATCTCTTTGGAAAAAAAAGAGAAATAAAAGGAAAAAAGAAAATCCACATCTCTGGTCAACCTTTGAAGTTTGAACATTTCAACCCATACAAACGTACAAAGGAAACATCTCTCCTGCTCTCCCACTCTCTCTCTCTCTCACACACAACACTTAATGATCAACTGTAATATTTTTTGTAGAACTAATACGAACTTGACTTCTGAACAAAGTTAGAGCTGCAAGTTTAAGAGTTCAAAAATTGTGTGGGAGATCAAACTGTGATTTGAATGGAATGGTACAAATTAAGCTTTAATGAGCTCAATTTGGTGACTTGACAATTTACATCCAAATAAGGGCTTGACCAGGCAGGGAAATACCACTTCCTTCCATTAATCAACAATCAGCCTCAAATCTCACTCAACTCAAAAGGCACGTAATACTTCCTTCCTTCCAAGTAAAAACACCAATCTACTTCATGTATTATAGTATCTAATAGTAATATTCTGTGTTTGAATACATACGGTAAGTTAGCGGAAGATAACAACCTGACAGGGACGCAGTTTGTAGCTAGGAGCCTAGGAGAATACATAAATGGAATGAAAAAGTCAAGAAATTTTTAATATTGTTGGGTTGGGGTAACCTCTGTCCTCCAACTACTCACTTGTCAGTCGTCACTCTCAAGAAGACGCATCCTCGTTTTTTCCCAAAATCAAACAAACCAACCTTTACAAAACACTCAGGATTAAAGTTTAAAATCTCCGTCCTAAAATGATTTTCTCTTGTTTATAGTAATATTTTCTGAGGGAGGGACTAAACTAAATATATATTGAATGAGAGAAGAGCTGACTTCCACTCAGCATTTTATACAAACAAGTGGACTGCATACTTGGCTGTTATGATGCCTCATCTAAACTAAATAGAGTACTGAATTCAAATGCTCTTTCAATAGGTATAGCATTAACAGTTTTTACCAAACTCCGGCAACTTGAATTCCGTCCTCTGGGTGAATCCCATTAATGTTAGCAGAGAAATGGTTTATCAAAAAAATAAAATAAAATAAACAGGGGACTTAAGTAGGGCCTAATCAGTACAAATCAAACATTCATAAAGATGTTCAGAATTAAAAACAAAAGAGGAAAGAACAAAATGAAACTGGCTTGTCACTTACTGGGAATCTAATGATGGAATATTTTTCCAGTAACTAAGCAAACACATCAGTTGCTGAATAAGGAAACTCAAACCATGTCCATTCTAATTTCTCAGCTACTGAATTCAATTTGAGTTTTATCAAATCATACTTTTCTTTCGCTTCCAAAATTTTCGTCTTTTTATTTTTTATTTTTTTTGGTTGGTTTGAGACGGAGGGAGTGTCTCTTAATTAAAACTATATTAATTTAAAACCTTTGAGACCTCATTTTCTTAGCACTATTGATTTTTATGTATATATATATTTTACTGGGTGAGGAGTAAAGGAACTTCCATTTATATTTTACTGGAAATTGTCCAGCGCCAATTGAAACACATTTAGGGTCCACACAGAACAAAGTTGTTTAAAATTAGGCCTATATAATGTTTCCTTAGGTCAATATGCAAACTGTAATAAGCAAGGATTTCAATCTCCAGTCTTCATTCTGCTTGTGTGCGGAGCGTTTACTTCTTCAACAATTGGAGACTGAGAAGAGGACCAAAGAAATTTAGCTGCCTACAATGCCTTCTGATGCAGGACTCATCCCTCACCCTCTACAAGTTATCCGAAAACCGGATTAATTGTTTACCGAGCTTCTAACACTGTCACCGTCATTTCAGCACCGACTACGTTTCTTTCGACGAAATAACCAGGGCGTGCAGCTTCTGGAAGTAGTCCATCACTCCCTACCATGAACACTACTGACGACATATCAGGCCTGTCTTCAGGACATTGTTGCACGCATAAAAGTCCTACATGGATAGCTCGAAGCACTTCTGTTGAACAACCCGAACTGATCATAAAAGAGTCGACTAATTCCAGCGCTCTTCCTTGCTGGTTAAGCCTCCATGCCTGGACATTTTAAACCATATCATCAGAACCATTTTCAAATTTATTGATAAGGATTATGGTACACAGCTACCACTCACATGTCCCAAAAGGTTGAGGTTGTGGCCTTCATGATCTAACATTCGATTTCTCTTACCGCTGATAATCTCAAGTATTAGGACTCCGAGGCTGAACACATCTGATTTTACTGAAAAGAGGCCATCTCCTGCGTATTCTGGAGACATATAACCGCTGCTTGACAAGAACATCAGAAAAACAGGAGTCAGGTAAACATGAGGCATGAGATTCTTACAATGTTAAAGGTCACATTCATTTTGAAATGGCAGCATTTGTGTTCCTTACTGTGTCCCAACAACTGTGGTTGTGTTGTCAGCAGTCTCATTTCCTCCAAAGCTTCTAGCTGTGCCGAAGTCTGATATTTTTGGGTTCAGATCAGCATCCAGCAAAATATTGCTTGCTTTTAGATCCCTATGTATGACTCTAAATCGGGAATCTTGATGAAGATATAAAACCCCCCTAGAAATGCCCTGGATAATATGGAACCGTTTAGGCCAGTCAAGTGATCTGCTCCTCCTTTGATCTGCCCAAATGTTTTATCCAGACTTAGTTATTCTATATTGTTTTTGAAAATTGTAAAAGAGAAACCGAAAAGGTACGTGAAATGCCCAATTGTAAAAGAGAAACCAAAAGGTACGTGAAATAATTAGCATTGTGTTTGAAATTTATCTAAGTGACGATTACAAGAAACAAAAAGTAATGAAATGCTTCTAATGAACATATTTACATATTCATAATGCCAAATGCAGCAGATTGTAGTTGGAGTTGAGATCACCTTACCGAATATGAAATAATCCAAGCTCTTGTTTGCCATGTACTCATAAATCAGAATCTTTTCATCCCCTTCGATACAACATCCTAGCAGCTTCACAAGATTCCGATGTTGAAGTTTAGCAATGCAGATTGCTTCAGTCATGAATTGGTCAACACCGTGCTGAGTATTTTCAGAGAGACGCTTCACAGCAACTTCTTGTCCGTCTTCCAGCTTGCCCTGGTGTACATTAAATTAAGGTGAACCTGCGCTCTTTTATTTGGAGATTTCAGAAACATATGCGAAGTGGAACGTTAACAGAAATGACAGTCTTGTGACTAGACCTAAAACAAAAATGTATGCAATATCGTCAACAGTTCATACATGAACTTAAGGAGTTGTCACTTATCAGAATTCCAGTTAGTGAAAGGCAAACTTTGAAATTTGAAGGATGCAGCAGATGTCCAGAAAAGTCTGTTCTTCAATTTTCATGTCTGATACCTAGAACATATGTTTTCTCTACCACATTTCTGTGTATAATAGTCCATTATCTTTGGATGGTCCTTTAGTGATAAGATAGAGCTGATTCAAAATGTATGCTCCATAGTAGTAGAAGGAAGAGACATTTGGAACCACTTTAGACATAATTAGTAGTCATTGTTATTACAGTACTTACGCAGCAAAACATGCTTACCCAGTAAACCGGACCATATCCGCCCTCTCCTATCTTGTTGTCAGAAGAGAAGTTATTGGTGGCTTGAACTAATCTAGAAAACACAAACAGGGGTAGTTCTAACTCTTTGTTATGGTGTTCCTTCACATAAGCCTTGCCATTGCTGTTTCTTGAAATTGCTGGAGTGTGAGTGATGAGATTGACAAAGTTTTCACATTGAGTTATTGCCAAAGGCTAATAAAATCAAACTGAAAAAATTACTATTTCCTCAGGGCTTACCTTCTGTTTTTATCTCTGGTTGTTTATTCTTCCTTCTGTAGGTATAGAATAGGAGGCCAAGTCCTAACAAACCCATGATAAGGATTGATAATGCTAAAATCAATATAAGAATATTTACTTTCTTTCCCTCAGATCCTGCAAATGGGAAAGGAAAGAGGTCATAAATTCTTATGCATCTACTAAGCATCTTGATTATAAGCTGATTGTTTTTCAGCCTGCATGTAAATCAGGTTCCAAAATTTTGGGTTATTTAATATTTACAAATGTCCAATACATATAAAAGCAAAATGTAAAAATATTTGCATGGAAGATTAAAAAAATTGTCTGTGACTGTTAATCGACCAAGTTGCAATTGATACCTCAAGCATAAGGCAATTAAACTATCAAAATATGTTACCTAATTCCGAAGCAGACATCCTGATGTAAAGATCTTGACCAGCAGCAGGGGCCACTTTGATGTCGAATAAGTCCCCAAACCAAAGCAAGCAGCCACTTGGTCCATTGCTTATGTCTAAGCTTGAATAAGCAGTACAAGAGCAATTTTCCAAGCACAATGATTTGCATTCATCCAGAGATATATTTCTCTGGTGGGTTGAATTCTGTACATTTGGCACTTTGAAATTAGAATACTGAAGAAATCCATCTCCTTTGCTACAATCCAAGGGTGTCTCCCTAACACAACCATCTGACCAATTTCCTTTACTCCAGTTCTCAGGATTCTTGGGCTGAAATTTCTCCAAACACCCACATATTGTTAGATTGGCTAGATTACAACTTCCATACGCACCGCATAACCCATAGCTATCGCAGTTATCTGATGGTGCAGACAAGTAAAGTTTCCAACTTGCTGTTTGATTTGACCATATCCATCGCTGTCCGACACCGTTCGAGGTCAAGATAAACCTCGAAAGAGTTGAAATCAGAAGCTTGTAGGCATAGTAAACCTCCTCACTGTTATAAACAACTTCAAACTTGAAAATATCGTTACCCATCGTGTCTGGAAACCCATTAAATCTTAAGCCATTCCATGGTCCAGTTCGGTACTTCAAAATGCTACCCTTTTTAATAATCTTCTGTGGAAATCCAGCAGGATCAAGGATGTATGTATATTGCCCTGGAGCAGGATCATCTGAACTTTTCCACGAGGAAAGATAGACCTCTAAACCAGTAACAAAATTCCGGCCTAGCTTCATTCCCGGCAGAAGTGTGTCTGAAGGATAATCAAAGCCCTGCCAAAGGAAATTCTCCGGATTGTCATCACTTGCGTCTTTGACAACAAGATTCCCACTATCCAACAATTGGGCCACGGGATTGTGTACAGAAGTTGAAGAATTAGAGGACCATATGATGACATTTGTTTCATTGCAAATTACAAGAACTCCTGGATTGATGATCTCCAAGAAACCAGCCTTGCTAATGACGGGAACTTCTCTATTAGCAACCCACACCACTGTTGGAATAGGTATGGACTTGAACCATATCCCCACGTACCTATTACTAGACTTATTTGGGCTAAAAAAGCCGAGCTCAAAGCTTCCACCAGCTGAAACCATTGTATCACCATCTCTGATCACTTGACCTGGTTTTATGATATCACTAACACAGAAGATCTGTTGAACCAGGGAAGGAAGTAAAAGTAAGCTGACGATTTTCAAGGTTGATATATTCATGCTATGCGATACCTGTTTGTTACTTATACGGCAGTCATTGGCTTCCTTAAGAATGTACTCAATATATATAAACCAAGTATCCCAGTTGCCACAGAGTTAAGATACTATTCATTTTCAACCAAGTCATTGGCCCAAAACTTAAGGTGTTGTATTGATTGGCTCCTCAAAAAAGTGTCAAGGTCGTCAAAAAGTACAGAGCAGTCATTTTCAGCCCAGTCTTATCTCAAATATTAAGGTCCTTTAATTCTACAATGATTCGCTAAAATACAAATTTGAGGGTTGAAGGTGTTCAAAATACATAGATTAAGCTTCAATACATGAAAAACCGAACTGGGTTCCCAGAAATATGGAACTTCATGAAGCCTGCAACTTTGCTAATTGCTGGCTGATTAACTTATCTCAAATGGGGACTAATCAACGACGTTCTTAAGTTTCAGTTACAGGTATCCAACCTCTGAATAGCCTTGCAAAATTCCAATATCCACACACACCCGCACAAACACTGTAAGCTTCTAGATGTCAGTTGTTTCTAGAACTAACGCAAAACAGTAAACAAAGTTGGACTGTCTCAGGTTTTAAACAGTTAAAAGAGATCAAACTGCAAATTGGTTGTTCAAAATTAAGCTTTGATGAACTCCACTCCACTTGGGTGTCCTAATATGCAAATCCTTACGAAGGGCTTCGGCCGGCATTGGACATTTGATTCTACTATTTACCAACAATCAGGAACAAAGCTCACTCACTTATAAAGCACATAAATTCTTCCTTCATTGTGATTCATTTGCTGAAAACACAATCTACTCCGACATAGTACCTTATTGTAAAATTCTCCGTTTGAATTAGTAAACGGAAGATGACAAACTGACCACCAGTCTACCACGTGACTGTGAGAAAGGACAAAAATTAGAATCTTGACTAAACAAAGAAAACTGTGATTCACAGAAAGAGAAAATCACTCACGACTTCCGTCTTCCATTTTAGTGGATTGCGGTGACCTCTGTTAAACTAATAATGGAAATGGAATTCAATAACATCAACAAAATTATTTCCCAAACTTTCCCATTCATGTCCTCACAGAAAATAATTTACCCAAAAAGTGTTATGAATCAAACATAAGAAGGAAAGAACAAAATGAAATTCCGTTTGTCACTTACTCGGATTCTAATGATGGAATGGCTTTCTGTATAAATGTAACACATTTCCACTACGAAAGCAAACGGTTGCTGAAGAAGGAAATTACATCCATTTCCATTGTAGTATTTCCATAGCTAGAGCTACTGAATTCAACTTGAGTCAATCAAAATTTTAGGAGATTTATGATTGAGACCCCTTCGAAGTTGTGAGAAACTAAACACTGCCCCTAAACTTAGATCTATGTTCAAATTACGCGACCTCATAATTTGTGAATTTTTATTGTACCATAAAAGGAGGCGAAATCGTTATGATCAATAGACTAAAACAGATGATAATACCGATAATGTCAGACACTGACCTTTGCTTTACTCTTGGCCTTTCATATTTTCTTTTTCAATCTTTATGGGTCCAGAAATTAAGGTTTGATTAAATTTGTTCCTTAATAGGCCCACAAAATTTGATTGTTTACCGGTCTCCCAAGGTTGTCATGTCACGGGACCAACTATGTTTCTTCGGAATATTCAAAAACAAAAACTCTGTGTTTAAGTTAACAGTCATGGAAGGTTTAACAGAAGATGCAGACTTAATGACTAGGACGACACAGTAAACACTTCATAAAAGAAGTCATCAAATTTTTGTTTTTTCATTGTTTTCAGTTTGTTAAACTCCCTTTGAACTAGAAAACATGTACTCCCTCCCTCCTATAATTATTGTCTAGTTCGAATTTTCATTTTTAGTTCAAATTGTACTAAAAATAAAATCTCAAATTAGACAATAATTTTGGGACAAAGAGAATATAAGACACTTATCCTACATTGGAGTTGGGAACCCAATTTAATCAAAGTATATAACTCTTACTCATGTGCCTTCAGAACACTTGTCAACTTCACGAATCATTCCCCTTTCTTCCCTAAAAACCAAACCTATCAACCTGTTTTTTTTTTTTTTTTTAATTTTTTTTACAGACTCGAGTTTATTGGTTCTGTCTCTGCAGTAAAGCACCTCATCTACAATTTTACATGCAAGAACCAAAATAAGAGCAACAATGCCTTCCTAATGCAGGCGTCTATTAGTCATCCTCTGCAATTTATGCTAAGTTTTTATTTACCGAGCTTCTAATGTTGTCATGGTCATTTCCGCACCCACTGTGTTTCTTTCCACGAAAAAGCCAGGATGTGTAGCTTCTGGAAGTGGTCCGTCACTTCCTAACATGAAAACTACAGACGACATGTCAGGCCTGTCTTCTGGACTTTGTTGCACACATAGTAGTCCCACGTGGATTGCTCGAAGCCCTTCTGTCAGAACAATACGAGTTGTTCAGATTAGAGTCGACTAATTCCAGTGCTCTTCCTTGCCGATTAAACCTCCAGGTCAACTCACATGATCATAACCAATCTGAGAAATTTTAAATGGAATGTAGTACAAGAAGTTATGACTAACATGTCCCAGATGTTGAGGTTGTGGCCTTCATGAATAAACATTCGGTTTCTTTTACCGCTGATAATCTCCAGTACTAGAACTCCGAAGCTGAACACATCTGATTTTACTGAAAAGTGGCCATCTCCTGCGTATTCTGGAGACATATATCCGCTGCTTGACAGAAACATCAGAAAACAGAAGTCACAGGTAAGCAATAGACATGATATCTAATCATGTTAAACGTCACATTCGTTTTGAATTCGCAGCATTTGTGTTCTTACTGTGTCCCAACTACTTTAACAGTGTTGTCACCAGTCTCATTCCCTCCAAAGCTTCTGTCTGTTCCAAAGTCAGATATTTTTGGGTTCAGATCAGAATCCAGCAAAATGTTGCTAGCTTTTAGATCTCTATGAATGACTCTAAGTCGGGAATCTTGATGAAGATATAGAAGCCCCCTAGCAATCCCCTGGATGATATGGAACCGTTTTGGCTAGTTAAGTGATCTGCTCCTCCTTTGATCTGCACAATTTTTTTATTTCTACTAAGTTATGTTGTTCCTGCATTTGGATTTCTAAGATATTGGAACACAGGATACAATGCTTGACTGGAGGAGGGAAAAAGGCCATCCTGTATTCTTTTCGATCAATAGCTGAAGTAAAATACTTGAATAGTGTTGGATATTTGTCCAACAGATTACAAGGAACCAAAAATAATGAAATGCTTCAAAAGAACATATTTGCATATTCATAATGCAAAATACAGCAGGTTGTAGTTGTAGTCTATGTTACCTGGTGGGTGTCGTATCAGGTGCGGGGATCTGAGTGTCTGATTCGTCAATATTTTAGAAATTTCGGAGATCTTAGGCTAAAATGCCACACCCGACACTCATACCCAAACCAGTGTCGACACGACACGACACGGGTATTCTCCCCAAATAGAAGAGGGCGGTAACATAGGTTGTAGTTGGGACCTACCAAATATAAAGTAGTCCAAGCTTTTGTTTGCCATGTACTCATATATCAGAATCTTTTCATCCCCTTCAATACAACAACCTAGAAGTTTCACAAGATTCCGATGCTGAAGTTTGGCAATGCAGATTGCTTCGGTCATGAATTGGTCAACATCGTGCTGAGTATTTTCCGAGAGACGCTTCACAGCAACTTCCTGTCCATCTTCCAACTTACCCTGGATATATTAAGATGAATCTTCCTTCTTTAAGTTGGAGGTTTCAGAAACATATGTGAAATGGAATATCAAGAGATATATTCTTGTAACTAAACCAACCAACAAATCTATGCAATATCAGCAACAGTTCATACAGTAAACAACTTTTAGGAGTTATCAGAATTCCGTCAGTGTCGGAAGAGCAAACTGTGAACTTTGAAGGATCCAGAAAATTTCCAAATAATTATGTGGTTTACTGTTCTAATTTGCCGCCTAGAATGTTGTAAATAATTTTATATCTAATTTGTGTGTCTGGCAATCCATTATCTTTGCATGGTTATTTGGAGGTAAGATCTACTAATCACTGATTCGAAATGTATGCTCAGTGGCTGTAGAACACAAAGACATTTGGAACCACTTTGCCACTAATTAATTTCATTGCTCTTACAGTCAATTTTGGATTAAGCAGCAAAACAGGCATACCCAGTAAACCGGACCGTAGCCACCCTCACCAAGCTTGTTGTCAGAAGAGAAACCTTTGGTAGCTTGAAGTAATCTAGACAATTCAGACAGGGGAAGCTCTATCTCTTTGTTATGGTATTCATTTGCATAATCCTTGTCATGGAATATTGCTGCAACACGAGCAACTTCAACTGCCTTATATCTTGAAATGTGAGAATCCTAAAAGCTTGCTGAAACAAGCAGGAAAGATGCACATTCGTTACTTTGTTTTCTCAATTGATGTTTCTTCTTTCTTCTGTTGGTATAAATTAGGGCGCTCAGGCCTAACAGAACCATACCAAGTGCTAACGGCAAAACGGTGACCAGTACTTTCACCTTCTTTCCATGAGAATCATTTGAGGAGACTGCCATTTTTCCAGTAGAAACAAATTGGTCAACTTTAGGACATATGAAAGCATACATTGACTTTAACCATAATGAAACCAAAATACGTGTAGTATGCAAACTTATCAGTAAAGCTGAAGTTGTGGAATGGTATAGACACTAATTGGCAAAAATTTAAGTAAAATGGCTTGACTAAAGAAACATAACCCATAGAAAGCGGTTTGGTGTTAGTTACCAAGACATAAACTAGACATCAACAGATTTTCTTTACGAAACTTCTATGAAGAAGCTAACATTTACACTCAAGACTCAGAGAGAGGAAGATTAAAGGGAAGGAAAAAAAAAGTTCAAGGTAAAACATAGCATATGTAGATGCCTTACCTAAATCAGAGGAAGCCAACCTTATATAAATATCTTGGCCAGCCCCTGGCATCACTTTCATGTCAACTAAATCCCCTAACCAGAGCAAGCAGCCACTTCCTCCATTTCTTATGTCCAAGCTCGAGTAAGCTGTGCAAGAGCATTTCTTCAAGCATTCTGTTCTGCATTCCTCCAGGGATATATTTCTGCTGTATGTGGAGTTATGAGTATCTGGCAACTTAAAATTAGAATATTTCAGAAATCCATCTCCACTGTCACAATCTAATTCCGTCTTCCTGATGCAGCCATCTGACCAAACTCCCTTACCCCAGTTCTCAGGATTCTAGGTTTAAACTTATCCAAACACCCACAAATTGCTGAATTCCCAACATCACAACTCCCAAATGAACCACATAATCCATAACTGTCACAGTTATCATTTGGTGCAGACAGATAGATATTCCACCTTCCGCTTTGATTGTCCCATGTCCAGCGCTGCCCAACACCACTTGGACTCAAGGTAAACCTTGTAATAGTGGATCCAAGCAGCTTAAAACTGTAATATACCTCCTCACTGTCAAAAACAACTTCAAAAGAAAATATAGGATTTGCTGTCAAACCTGGAACACCACTGAATCCTTGGCCATTCCATGATCCAGTTCGATAGATCAAGCCTGAACCTGAACTTATAAAATTTTGCGGATATCCTGTAGGATCACAGTGGTATGTATATTCTCCTGCAGCTGGATCTTCAAAACTCTTCCAAGATGTAACATGAACTTCTAAACCAGTAACAAAATTCCGACCCAGCTTCATCCCGGGTAGAAATGTATCACTTGGATAATTAAAGCTCTGCCAGATATAGTTTCCTGGATTATCATCATTTGCATCTTTCAAAACAAGATTCCCAGTGTCCAACAATTGTGCTACTGGATTCTGTGCAGCCGTTGAAGAATTAGATGACCATACGGAGCTATTCATCTCATTGCGAATAACAAGAACCCCTGGTTGGACGATTTCCAAGAAACCAGTTGTATTTGTGAGGGGAACTTCTCTATTAGCCACCCATACCACAGTCTGAATAGGTATGTTCCGATACCATATTCCCAAATACCTTTTAGTTGACGTACTTGGACTGAAGAATCCAAGTGCAAAGCTCCCACCAGCTGAAATGATGGTTTCATCATCCTTAAGAATTTGACTTCTGGTTAAGCTATCTGTTAGACAGATTATCTTCTCAATCCAAAAAAGAAGTGAAAGCACATATGAAAAAATGTTAACTAATGTTTCATGCTTCCAGTATTTCTATCAGTATCCTGCACTATTTGGAAATGTGAAATAATTATCAATAGGACACACAGGTATAACTACTTCTCATTCTGAACCGAGTTGTTGTCTTTTAAACTAGAAAAGTTCTCTAATTTCCTGAATTTTCTACATAACAAACCGAATTTTAGGATGGTCAACTGTAATCTAACACTGGTTCCTGCAAAGATTAAAACATTGATGGGGTATGGAATACTATATGAATTTTTACAAGTGGAGTTTGAAGTCCAAGATTATGGTAGAAGTTAAGATGGATTTATTATAATTGGCTGAAGGTACGGATACAATGAACCATCTTACGTCCCATAGGCCATGAAATGGGTTTTGAATGACTGGGATATTCAACATATGACAACGCTTTGGAATCTTAAACCTATCACATGTATTTTGCCACACATAATTCCTAAGGAAACATAGCAGCATCTCCTGTCATCATCTAGAAATGTACTATCAAAGGGAAAAAAGAATACACTTATAAATTTTTGCTATCCACAGACTAGGACCAATCTTATGTTTAATTTCCCTCCACCAATCAATTTTATGGGATCCAACTCCTTGTATTCTAAAATAAGGAGAATAAATATGATCAAGAGTCATATATATGAATTATTTAGCGTTTATGGGAGAGGCTGAGATCACTCTCACCTGGGCAAGAAAATCACCTAACAGAAAGTAGTCAGAATATTTTCAGTTGACCCAAACTGCTCTTTTGAAAAGTAAATATTCTTCCTGCAACTTCTCCTGCACCAAGAGGGCAAATAATCAAAATGCGCAAAATATAAGAAATGCACACGTAATTCAACTTAAAATATATGGAGAGTACTGCTGACTGTGATGCCTTAATTGGAATTTTATCAAGCATATTGACTGCATGCTTCGTGAACTATGCGGGTGCCCAGACAAACAAAAAAGAAATCTAAAGCTGTTACGGTTCAAATTGTTTTGCTGCTCAACTGTGCAATTGCAGCAGCATGTCAGATTCCTGAATCATTTCTTTTTTACAGTAAACATTGACAAGCTTCAAATTCAACCAGATAATTTTACCAATTATCTGAAGTTTCTACATTTTTTTTCCCCTCTCCTACTATATAATACTCCCTCTGTCTCATATTATTATTCAGTTTGGATTTTCATTTTCAGTGTAAATTGTACTAAAAGTGAAATGTCAAACTGGACAATAATTTTAGGACAGAGGGAGTACTTGAAGGCTAAAGATTTGTATACCCGCCGGCTCAAGAGAAAAATGCAGTTGAATTGGCATGTAAAGAGAGTGACCTAGTAGCGGGTGATTCGGACAGGCAGTCATCAATCATCACCAGTCAAGGTTTAATGTTAATCTGAAATTATAGCTGTCGTCAGGCGATCACATCAGACAATCAGAGTGTTGTGAGTCTTGTGACAAATTGTAGGATTATAGTTTTTGGAACAATATTATACAAAGGAGTTGTTGAATTAAAAGTGATCGTGAGGACCAGGAATGTTAGTAAACAAAATTAAGATTCATTCAAATCATTTTCTGTTAAATTTTTTTGTAAATTCAGCCATCTTTACAATATTACAGGATTTTTTTTTACCTAAACGAGTTTTTCTGAGACCAAACTGTACGGCACTATACCCGGTTAGAGAGGGAGTAGACAGAAATACATGTATCGAATTTGCCAAATCTGAAAGTAAGGTAATTTCGGATATTGGAGATTTCGAAATTAGGGTAGAGTCGGATTTCAGAAATCCGATAGATGTGTATTTGTGCATGGTCAATTAGGACTTTTGGATTTTCTGAATTCGACAACCTAGTATTAATGAACTTTCAGATTTTGGATATCCGATAGATGTACTTTTTTCAAAAAAAAAAAAAAACTGAATATCCACTCAAAATTTAATTAAATTTCTTTTTCCGAATCACCCAAATATTACATCACTTATTACATTATATAAAAAGGGAAACATAAAAAAAAGAAAAGAAAAAGAAAAGAACAAAGGAAACAGAAGATCATTTACATATGCTATACCGGGGGAGCTTCTCCTGCATTTCTGCTCATTCAGAATTCAGAAAAAAGCAAATGCTCAGGACACATTCGAATCATCGATTGTTATTTGGTCGTTAGTGTTATCGTGGTTGTATCATTGTGATGGTGATTTCAGAGTGGTCTACATATCTTTCCATGAAGAAACCAGGCTGTGTAGCCTCTGGCACTGGTCCTTCATTTCCCAGCATGAAAACCACATTACACATTTCAGGCCTATCTTCTGGGCACTGCTGCACACACAGTAGTCCCACTCGGATGGCTCGAAGCGCCTGCGAACCACAGTAACAAGTCCCCAGATTAGATTCGACTAATTCCAGTGCCCGCCCTTCCCTGTTTAGCATCCAAGCCTAAAGAATTTCAAGCATCAGCTTTTTAGCATAACCAGAATATTTCATTATTCACTCGCTTTATCTCAAAATAAGGATCGTGTTTGTTGTACTTACATGTCCCAACAGGTTGTAGTAGTGGCCTTCATGCATAAACACTTTGTTTCTCTTACCGCTGATGATTTCTAGAAGCAGCACGCCAAAGCTGAACACATCTGATTTTACCGAGAAGTGCCCTTCTCCGGCGTATTCAGGCGACATGTATCCTCTGTTGGAAGTTATCATAACAACAAACAAATAATGACTATTTTGATGGCCAACAAACGAATAAGAGAGTACCGATTGGAAGTCATTCTTACTGTGTTCCAACCACACGTCTTGTTTTGTCTTCAGTTTCATTTCCTCCAAAGCTCTTTGCAATCCCAAAGTCAGAGATTTTTGGGTTCAGCTCAGAATCAAGCAAGATATTTGCAGCTTTTAAGTCTCGGTGAATTATTCTTAATCTGGAATCTTGATGAAGATAAAGAAGTCCTCGGGCGATTCCCAGCACAATTTGAAATCGCTTAGGCCAGTCAAGCAGGGTGCTTTTCTTTGGATCTGCTAGCATAGTTATTAGGAGGGACTTAGTTTGATTAGTCTGTTCCTCGTTTGAAGGAAAAAAAAATTCTATTAGGAGTTGAGAAAGATATACCAAATATGAAGCGATCCAGGCTTTTGTTGGGCATATATTCATAAATCAAGCTCATTTCTTCCCCTTCAATACAACATCCTAGAAGCTTGACCAGATTCCGATGCTGAAGCTTAGCAATGTAAGTAACCTCATTCTTAAATTCGTCGATGCCTTGCTCTGCATGTTCTGATAAACGCTTCACGGCAATTTCCTGTCCCTCTTCCAGACGACCCTAATAAAGAAAACAAGCCTGGATTGAATTCATCAATTCATGTTAAGGTTGTGAGGAGCATAACCCGAACACGATGTGACACTCTTACCCAATAAACAGGACCATATCCACCCTCTCCGAGCTTGTTTTCAGAGGAGAAGTTATTGGTGGCTTGAACTAATCTAGAAAACACAAACAGAGGAAGTTCTAACTCTGTCTTATGGTGTTCGTTCATGTAATCCTTGCCATTGCTGTTTCTGAAAATCGCTGCATTGTGAGAAATGTTATTTGATTCAGTTTCAAATTGAAATATTGCTAAAACCCTACTGCTTAGTCTTTAATCAGCTGAATCATTAATATTGCTGGAGTCTTACCAATTCCATCTGGTTTTATCTTAAGATGGTTTCTGTTCCTTCTGTTTCTGTAGATGCATAATATGAGGAAGAGTCCTAGTAAAATCATGATAAGAACTGATAATGGTAAAACCCAGACGAGTATATTTCCTTTCTTTCCATCAGATCCTGCAAATGAGGGGGAAAAAGAGATCATACCCTATTAACATCTATAAAGCGTATTTAAAGAGGATAAAATATATAAAAAAGAGACCAGGACATATACAGGCTGCTGGTTTACCAGTTTCAGTTATGTAAATATAGTTCACATGATTTTGTGTTATTATACCCCAAAAATGTAGTTAATACTCCCTTCTTCCCAAAAATAAGAAGTTGTTTGTTGTAACAAATAAGGCGCTTATTTTTATTTTGGGATACGAGAAGTATGTCACCTGATTCCAAAGCACCCATCCTGATGTAAATGTCTTCACCAGAAGCAGATGACACTTTGATATCAATTAAGTCCCCAATCCAAAGCAAGCAGCCACTTCCTCCATTCCTTATGTCTAAGCTAGAATAAGCTGTACAAGAGCAATCCTTCAAGCACAAACTTCTGCATTCCTCCAGAGTCGTATTTCTATGAACGGTTGAATTCTGTACATTTGGCAATTTGAGGTTGGAAAGTTTCCGAAATCCATCTCTTTCGCTGCAGTTGAATGTCCGAACACAACCCTCCGACCAATCTCCTTTACTCCAATTCTCAGGGTTCTTGGGCTGAAACTTCTCCAAACATCCACAAATCGTTAGATCCATAAGATTACAACTTCCATATGCTCCGCATAACCCATAGGTGTCGCAGGCATCTGATGGTAAAGACAAGTAAATTTTCCAACTTGCTGTTCGGTTTTCCCATATCCATCGCTCCCCTACACCATTGGGATTCAAGATAACCCTCGAAACAGTTGAACTCAGAAGCTTGTAGGTATAGTAAACCTCCTTATTGTTATATACAACTTGAAAGCTGAAAATATTGTTCCCTGTCAGGCTTGGAAATCCATTGAATCCAAAGCCATTCCATGGTCCAGTTCGATACACCAAACTGCTACCATTTTTTATCATCTTCTGCGGAAATCCAGCAGGATCCATGATGTACGTATATTGCCCCGGAGCAGGATCATCTGAACTTTTCCACGATGAAAGATAAACCTCTAAACCAGTAACAAAATTCAGGCCTAGCTTCATTCCTGGCAGAAGTGTGTCAGTTGGATAATCAAAGCTCTGCCAAAGAAAATTATCTGGATCGTCATCATTTGCATCTTTGACAACAAGATTCCCACTATCCAACAATTGGGCCACTGGGTTCTGTACAGAAGCTGAAGAATTAGAGGACCATACGGTGATGTTTCTTTCGTTGCGAATTACAAGAACTCCTGGCTTGATGATCTCTAAGGAACCGCCAGTATCAGCGATGGAAATTTCTCTATTTGCAACCCACACAACAGTTTGAGCTTTTATGGTAGTAGTATTATACCAGATCCCCAGGTACCTGTTAGTGGACTTACCTGGGCTAAAAAAGCCAAGCTCAAAGCTCCCACCAGCTGAAACAATTGTATCACCATCTCTGATCACTTGAGCTGGTGTTATTGTATCTGTTACACACAAAATCTGTTGAACCAGGAAAGGAAGTAAAAGACAAAGTAAGCTGACAATTTTTAGTGTTGATATATTCATGCTATCCAAGGCTTGTTTGTTACTTATATATATGCATTCATTGGCTTCCTCAATAATGTACTTATACATATATATATATATATATATACCAAGTATCCCAGTTGCCACAGAGTTAAGATACTATTCATTTTCAGCCAAGTCTTTGGCCCAAAACTTAAGGTGTTATGTTGATTGGCTCCTCAAAAAAACATTACTAGTGGTCAAGAGATTTATAAACACTAGTTAATTTCAACCCAGTCTTCTGTCAAAGCTGAAGGTCTTTTGAATTTCTACAATCAGGAACAAAGCTCACTCACTTATAAAGCACATATATTCTTCCTTCATTATGATTCATTTACTGAGAACATAATCTACTCCCTCATAGTACCTTATTGTAAAATTCTCCGTTTGAATTAGTAAACAAAGAAAATTGTGATATATAGTCAAGAAAGAGAGAATAGCTCATGACTCTACAATCTTCCATTTTGGTGGATTGCTGTGACCTTTGGTAAACTAATAATGACAACGGAATTCAACAACATTAAAACAATGTTTACCAAACTTTTTCCATTTATGTTCTCTCAGAAAATAATTTGCCCCAAAACGTCCATCCATTAAAAAAAAAATGTGTTCTGAATCTAATATAAAAAGGAAAGAGCAGAATGAATTTGCGTTTGTCACTTACTCGGATTCTGATGATGAAATAGCTCTCTGTAAATGAAACACATTTCCAGTGTGAAAGCAAACCCATCAGTTGATGAAGTAGGACATTCCATCCCATCCCATTGTACTCCCACCGACCCGAAATTATTGTCAGAGTTTGAATTTATATAATTTTTTTTTTTACAAATTGAATTAAAAGTGAAAATTTAAAATGGACAATCATTTTGGGACAGAGAAAGTGTATTTATTTAGAGCTACTGAATTCAATCAGAGTTAAATTTCTTCCCTTGGAGACAAAAGTGGTTGAAGATCAAAATTTGGGGAGATTTAAGATTAGGACCAACAATTAACTTAGGAATTAGGACCTATGTTTCAATTATGCAGCCTCATAATCGCTAACTTTTATGCACCTTACAAGGAGGCGAAACCTATATAACCAGAGAGACAAATCACTGATAAAACAAATTACCAACAATATCATTCAGTGATCTTTTGCTTTACTCTTGAGTTTCATAATTGCTTTCTCAATTTTAATGGGTCCATCTATTAAAAATTGTTTAGATTCGAACTTTTGACCAATGGCATCCTGACATCCATATAGATTAAGAGCAACTATGCATTTTTCATGCGGTAATCATACTGGGCAATTTTATTTGAAAAACCGATCTCCTAAAGTTGTCACGGCTCCAAATATCCGTGTCTTACTAAAACTCTCTGTTTGAGTCAACATGGAAGGTTGAACAGAAGATGACAGGTTGATTTAATCTTCATTTGTCAACTTCAAGAATTATTCCCCTTTCTTCTCTAAAAACCAAACCTACCAACCTTTTTTTATTTACAGATTCAAGTCTATTGCTTCTATCTCTGCGGTAAAGCATGTGGAAACCTGTATCAATATCAATTCAAGAAACAAGTAAGAGCAACAATGCCTTCTAATGCCAGCAGCCAATAAGTCATGCTCTGCAAATTATGCAAATTCCTATTTACCGAGCTTGTAATGTTGTCATGGTCATTTCAGCACCCAATATGTTTCTTTCCACGAAAAACCCAGGACGTGTAGCTTCTGGGAGTGGTCCGCTGCTTCCTAACATGAAAACTACAGACGACATATCAGGCCTATCTTCTGGACTTTGTTGCACACATAACAGTCCCACATGGATTGCTCGAAGCACTTCTATCGAACAATATGAATTAGTCAGATTAGAGTCGACTAATTCCAGTGCTCTTCCTTGCCGATTAAACCTCCAGGCCTGCTCAGTTCAAATCACATTATTGTAACCAATCTGAGAACTTTTTAATTGGAATATCATACAAGAAGTTATTACTCACATGTCCCAAAATGTTGAGGTTGTGCCCTTCAAGAACAAACATTCGGTTTCTCTTACCACTGATAATCTCAAGTACTAGAACTCCAAAGCTGAACACATCTGATTTCACTGAAAAGAGGCCATCTCCTACGTATTCTGGAGGCATATAGCCGCTGCTTGACAGAAACATCAGAAAACAGAAGTCACAGGTAAGCAATAGGCATGAGATCTAATCATGTTAAATGTCACAATCGTTCTGAATTGGCAGTATTTGTGTTCTCACTGTGTCCCAACTACTTTAACAGTGTTGTCACCAGTCTCATTCCCTCCAAAGCTTCTAGCTGTGCCGAAGTCTGATATTTTTGGGTTCAGATCAGCATCCAGCAAAATATTGCTCGCTTTTATATCTCTATGAATGACTCTAAGTCGGGAATCTTGATGAAGATATTGAAGCCCCCTAGCAATCCCCTGGATGATATGGAACCGGTTTTGCCAGTTAAGTGATCTGCTCCTCTTTTGATCTGCACAATTTTTTCATTAGACTAAGTTACTTTGTTCCTGCAGCTGGATTTCTTAAATGGGAAACTAATTGGAACACAGGATACAATGCTTGACGGGGAGGTGGGCGGTTGGGAAGGGAAGGGCCATCCTCTATTCTTTCCAAAAAAATGTTTGAAAGAAATCAATCACTGAAGGGAAATACTTGAATTGCGGTTGGTATCTATCCAACAAATTACAAGAAACCAAAAGCAAATGACATGCTTCTAAAGAACATATTTATCTATTCATAAAGCAAAATGCAGCATATTGTAGTTGGAGTTGAGACCTACCAAATATAAAGTAATCCAAGCTTTTGTTTGCCATGAACTCATATATCAGAATCCTTTCATCCCCTTCAATACAATATCCTAGAAGCTTCACAAGATTCCGATGCTGAAGTTTGGCAATGCAGATTGCTTCGGTCATGAATTGGTCAACACCGTGCTGAGTATGTTCAGAGAGACGCTTCACAGCAACTTCCTGTCCATCTTCCAACTTACCCTGGATATTTTTAAGATGAATCGGCGTTCTTTAATTTGGAGGTTTCGGAAACATATGTGACGTGGAATTTCAATAGATATGACATTTTCTTGTAACTAAACCAACCAATCTATTGAATATCAGCAACAGTTCATATAGTAACAACTTTAAGGAGTTATCAGAATTCCTGTCATTGTTGGAAGAGCAAACCTGGAAATTTGAAGACCCAGAAACTTTCCAAATAATTATGTAGTTTAATGTCCTACTTTACCGCCTAGAACATATGTGTTACTTAACCACAGTTTATATCTAATTTGTAGTCCATTATCTTTGCATGACTATTTAGTGGTAAGATCTACTAATTACTGATCGAAATGTATGCTCAAATAGCTGTAGAACAAAGAGACATTTGAAACCACTTTGGCAGAAATTAATATTCCTTGTTCTTACAGTCAATACTGGATTAAGCTGCAAATCAGGCTTACCCAGTAAACGGGACCATAACCACCCTCACCAAGCTTCTTGTCCGAAGAGAAGTTATTGGTAGCTTGAAGTAATCTAGAAAATTCAAATAGCGGAAGCTCTATCTCTTTATTATGGTGTTCATTTCCGTAATCCTTATCATGTAGTATTCCTGCAACATGAGCAACTTCAACAGCCTTATATCTTAAATGTGAGAATCCTAAAAGCTTGCTGAATCCAGCAGGAAAAAAAAATGCAAATTCAGTACCTTGCTTTCTCAATTGATGTTTCTTCTTTCTTCTGTCGGTATAAAATAGGATGCCAAGGCCAAATAGAACCATACCAAGTGCTGACAGCAAAACGATGACCGGTATTTTTACCTTCTTTCCACGAGAATCATTTGAGGAGACTGCCAATTTTCCAGTAGAAACAAATTGGTCAATATTAGTCCATATGAAAGCACACGTTTGACTTTAACCATAATGAAACTGAAAGACAGGTATTATGCAAACTTATCAGTAAAGCTAAAGTGGTGTAATGGTATAGATAATACTGGGCAAAAATCTCAGTAAAATGCCTTGACTAAAGAAACATAACCCACAGAGACAGAATTGTTGTTACATACCAAGACACAAACTAGACAAATGATTTACATTACATGGCAAGAAACTAACATTTACATTCAGACTGAGACAGGAAGGTTGAGGGGAAGGGAAAAAAAAAGTTCAAGATAGATCATTACGCATATGAAGATGTCTTACCTAACTCCGAAGGAGCCAACCTGATGTAAATATCTTGGCCAGCTCCAGGCATCACTTTCATGTCAATTAAATCACCGAACCAGAGCAAGCAGCCACTTCCTCCATTTCTTATGTCCAAGCTCGAATAAGCTGTGCAAGAGCAGTTCTTCGAGCACTCTGTTCTGCATTCCTCCAGGGATATATTTCTGTTGTATGTGGAGTTATGAGTATCTGGCAACTTAAAATTAGAATACTTCAGAAATCCATCTCCACTGTCACAATCTAATTCCGTCTTCCTGATGCAGCCATCTGACCAAACTCCCTTACCCCAGTTCTCAGGATTCTTAGGTTTAAACTTATCCAAACATCCACAAATTGCTGAATTCCCAACATCACAACTCCCAAATGAACCACATAATCCATAACTGTCACAGTTATCATTTGGTGCAGACAGGTAGATATTCCACCTTCCGCTTTGATTGTCCCATGTCCAGCGCTGCCCAACACCACTTGGACTCAAGGTAAACCTTGTAATAGTGGATCCAAGCAGCTTAAAACTGTAATATACCTCCTCACTGTCAAAAACAACTTCAAAAGAAAATATAGGATTTGCTGTCAAACCTGGAACACCACTGAATCCTTGGCCATTCCATGATCCAGTTCGATAGATCAAGCCTGAACCTGAACTTATAAAATTTTGCGGATATCCTGTAGGATCACAGTGGTATGTATATTCTCCTGGAGCTGGATCTTCAAAACTCTTCCAAGATGTAACATGAACTTCTAAACCAGTAACAAAATTCCGACCCAGCTTCATCCCGGGTAGAAATGTATCACTTGGATAATTAAAGCTCTGCCAGATATAGTTTCCTGGATTATCATCATTTGCATCTTTCAAAACAAGATTCCCAGTGTCCAACAATTGTGCTACTGGATTCTGTGCAGCCGTTGAAGAATTAGATGACCATATGGAGCTATTCATCTCGTTGCGAATAACAAGAACCCCTGGTTGGACGATTTCCAAGAAACCAGTTGTATTTGTGAGGGGAGCTTCTCTATTAGCCACCCATACCACAGTCTGAATAGGTATGTTCCGATACCATATTCCCAAATACCTTTTAGTTGACATACTTGGACTGAAGAATCCAAGTGCAAAGCTCCCACCAGCTGAAATGATGGTTTCACCATCCTTAAGAATTTGACTTCTGGTTAAGCTATCTGTTAGACAAGTAATCTTCTCAATCCCAAAAAGAAGTGAAAGCGCATAAACCAAATGAAAAATGTTAACTAATGTTTTCATGCTTTCAGTATTTCTGTATTCTGTATTATTTGGAAACTCAAAATTAAGTATCACAGACTGCACAGGGTATAACTGCTTCTCATCCTGAACCAAGCTGTTTCCCTTCAAACTAGAAAAAATTCTCTAATTTGCTGAATTTTCTATATAACAAACCATATTTTAGGATGGTCAACTATAGAACCTACCTTGGTTCCTACGAAGAAGATACCAAAAAGCCCAAAATTTAAACACGAGTGGGGTACAGAAGAGTATAACTTATAACAAGTGGAGTTTAAAGTCAAAGATTAGGACAAAAGTAAAGATTGATTATGGATACATGATTTGGCCGAGGGTAAGGAGACCATGAACTCTCTCTCTCGTCCATTGGCCATAAACTAGGTTTTGAATGTCTTAGATTTTTTTGTTCAAAAAAATGTCTTAGATATTCAACATATGACAGCACTGTGGAATCTTCAACCTAGCATGTGTATGTTCCCACACAAAATAATACTATCTATTAAAACGTAACTATAGTTCCTCTCATCCTGTAGAAATGTACTATGCTAGAACAAATACACAACTCAGATCTTGCTATCCATGAATGAGGTGGCTCCCATCTTATGTGTAGTCTCCCTCCTCCAATCAATTTTATGGGTTCCACTCCCACCAACTTAGATTGTAACATGAGAAGGAGAAAAAAAATGATCAAGAGTCAGACATGAATTATTTAGCATTTACTGGAGAGCTTTGATGGAATCTTGAGATCACTCATCATGCATGAAAGTCACGTAATAACTAATAACCAGTCAGAAAATTTTCAGTTGACCTCAGCTAGTCTTTTGAAAATTCCAGTATTCTTCTTGCATTATCCCCTGCACAAGGCAACAACCTGAACAAGTAAAGAGTAAGTAATTGCCCAAAAACTAAAGAAATAAGTACATTGTAGACTCCAAGAACGTGCAAGCATAAAAAGAAAAGCAATAAGATTGATTAAGCACTTAGTTCAACCGAACAAATAAAAGACTCTGAAGTCTGAACCCTTGTAAAGCAATTGTGACAAAAACAAACTTGTATTTGATTAATCTCATAGCCATCGCACCCAAAACAACCCCTTTCAAATCCCCAAAAAGTGACGTGGTTTTATACGGTCAAAAAACTCTCCACAATCTGTTGACATCATTTTTATTTGTCTTAAGTTTCACCCAGTACGAAATTTTTAATTGACAAAGAAAAACTTAAAAATACAAAGAATGTGAAAATAAAGTTTTAAGGTTTTTTTTTTGTCAATTAAAATTGAGTACTAGATTAAACCTGCGATAAATCAAAATGCCTGACTGGAGGGAGTATTATTTAACCAAGCCTAACTCATAATAAAACAATAAACCTAATAGGAGTAACTCTTAATAGGAAAGCTATGATATATCCGGTGACTAAGTACAATGAAAATATATAGTGACAAATGAAAAGAGAAATACATCATCCACTTGCTAAACATGTCTATTTATTAATCAAGCGTAAAAATATAATGTTAGGAGAAAAATAAAACTTTAACGGGAAAATAGCAAAAAACTAGGGGCCATAATTATTCCTCATCAGTCACTATATTTTGTCACTATTTTCATTCAGTAACAGTATCATTTTCCTTGTGCATATACATGCATTTACCTTGAAAAAGAGGAGGAAAAGAGTCAGCTGACAGTTGCCTTTATAAGCATTTCATCAAACACGTAATCTTCATTCTTTAATGAGTAACCGCATCAACCTAACACTTAAAAGAGAAACCAAAATCTAATTCAATAATGTTGCAGTTCAACAATGGAATTCATTACGAAACAGAATGCGATGGTAAACAATAAACATGACGTAACACGCACAGCAATATATGCTTTTTGCAGAAGCTGCACGCGACGAATCGCCATTCGCGCCTTCTTCTTCTCAGCTAAAGGCGTATTTCCCATGGCTTCGGAACTTTGAAGTTTGAAGTGGCTCGTTCCTAATTAAACAAGTTGCCGACTGAATTGGTTCTTATTAATTGACCTTACTTTTTACTCAATTCATCCGTAAAAAAATGATTATCTCAATTTGGATTTTCATCTGTACTATTGCACACACAAAAAAAAAGAGTAAAAGAAATATGAATATAAACAAGAATCAATAAAGGAGTTAGTCTTAACACAAGGACAGAATTCAAACAACAGGACGACGAGGACAGAATTCACAAATTAGATTCTCTTCCAAGATACTTAGTACAATTTGTGCATATATGATGTACATATAGATTAGGGAGAGGATGTTAGTAGACTAGTAGTACACACACATGTACATTTGTTGCCTGAAAGTAGAACTGAAGCTATCTATACACACACATTTTGGTGATCTTTTTCATCTTGGTTCGATGGTGGTGATCATGGTGAATTCAGGGTGGGTTACGACTCTTTCCACGTAAAACCCAGGTTGTGCAGCCTCTGGAATTACTACTTCGTTTCCCAACATGTTGACTACACAAGACATATCAGGCCTATCTTCCGGACTTTGTTGAACGCACAATAATCCCACCTTAACTGCTCGAATCACTTCTGACGAACAATAAGAATTGCCCAGATTCGGGTCCACTAATTCCAGTGCCTTTCCATCCCTGTTCAGCATCCAGGCCTACACAATTAAATTTTCAATCATCATCATATGTTAATTAGCCTGACCAGAGATAATGATGATTTTTTCCGTCGGAAAAGAATGTCGAAGTAAATCACTCACATAACCCAGAAGATTGATGGGGTAGCCTTCGTAATTAAATGTCCTGTTTTTCCTCCCACAGATAATTTCCAGCACTAAAACTCCAAAGCTGAATACATCTGATTTTATGGAGAATGTCCCGCCTCCTGCGTATTCCGGAGATATGTATCCCCTGCAGAGAAGGTAATTAATGGATCACTAAGGAACAAGTGATTTCCATCTATTTTTCTGGGATAGAGGCAGAGTAATATTGAAAAACTTACTGAGTTCCGACTACCATTCTTGTCCTGTCTTCAGTTTTGTTCCCTCCAAAGATTCTTGCTATCCCAAAATCTGAGATCTTCGGTTTAAGATCGGCGTCCAGCAGAATGTTGCTTGCTTTCAGGTCTCTGTGTACGATTCTGGGTTGGGAATCTTCGTGAAGGTAGAGAAGCCCTCTAGAAATTCCCTGAATTACGTTGAGGCGTTTAGGCCAGTCGAGCTTGGCGCTTCTGCTTCGATCTGCCAAAAATCTAGGCTGAGTATATATTGTTGTTTGCCTTTCAAAGTTTCAGGTATCAATTGCTTCTCTTTGATTGTTGTTTTCCATCCATATCCAGTAAGTGACAATTAATAATGGAAATGATATATGTTCGTTGCCAATAAAGCTTAAAATGAGCATAAAGAAGGTTTTTTGGGAGTTCAGAAATACGAACCGAATATCCAGTAATCTAGGCTACCATGACGCATATATTCATAAATCAGGATCTTCTCTTCCCCTTCAACACAACACCCTAGAAGCTTTACAAGATTCCGATGCTGAAGTTGAGCTATACATCGAGCTTCGTTCCTGAATTGGTCGGCGCCTTGTTCCGAAGATTTGGAGAGACGCTTCACGGCGATTTCCTGTCCCTCTTCTAGCACACCCTGTAAGAGAAGCCATATAACATTATGGGATGTAAAGGTTTCTGATGCTGAATTCATTCATATATTAATATAAGGGTTTTCAGGAATTGATTCAAGAAATAGGCATCAGGCAGCCAAACATCAGGTCAGGCTTACCAGATAAACAGGACCATAGCCACCCTCTCCAAGTTTGTTATCAGGAGAAAACTCATTGGTGGCTTGAACCAATCTAGAGAACTCAAACTGGGGGAGCTCAATCTTTTTGCTATCAGGTTCATTCATGTAATCCATCCCAATCGTACGTTTTGAAATTGCTGCAATACGGAGGATAGCTTATAAAGTTTAGTCCTGGAATTGAGTTATTGCCGATGCTTATCAAAATCAGGAGAAAAATATCGCTTCTGTTACCTTCCGGTATTATCTTGGGTTGTTTTTTCATCCCCTTGTACTTGTACATTATGAGGGCAAGTCCTAATAAAACCGTGATAAGGATTGACATTGGCAAAAACCAGACAAGTAATCTTCCCTTCTTTCTATGGGATCCTGCAAATTGTGTCATGAAATGTTTAAATTAATACTTGAAAGGAGGTGATGCAAAATGAAATCTCAATTAGTACTCCCTCTGTCCCAAAATTATTGTCCAGTTTGGATTTTTAGTTTTAGTTCAAATTATACTAGAACAGAAAATCAAAACTGGACAATAATTTTGGGACAGAGGGAGTACTACTTTTCAAAATGAAGCAATCAGGAGAGTTTTACCTAATTCTGCAGAATTCACTCTGATGTATATGTCTTGACCAGCTACAGAAGACACTTTCATGTCCATCAAATCTCCAAACCAAAACAAGCATCCACTTCCTCCATTCCTGATATCTAAGCTGGAGTAAGCAGTACATGAGCAATTTTTCATGCACATTGACTTGCATTCATCCAGAGATACATTTCTCAGGAAGGTTGAATTCTGTACATTTGGCAGTTTGAAGTTAGAATACTTCAGGAATCCATCTCCTTTGCTACAATTCAAGGGAATCTTCCTAATGCACCCATTTGACCAATCTCCCTTAGCCCAATTCTCAGGATCCTTGGGTCCAAATTTATCCAGGCATCCACAAATCGTCGGATTCCCGACGTTACAACTTCCATGTGCTCCACATAATCCATAACTATCACAATTATCTGACGGCGCAGACAAGTAAATTTTCCAACTTGAGCTTTGGTTTTCCAATATCCATCGCTGTCCGACGCCACTTGGAGCCAAGGTAAACCTCGAAAGAGTTGAGCCGAGAAGCTTGAAAGTGTAGTAAACCTCCTCACTGTTATAAACAACTTGAAAGCTGAATATTGTATTCCCTATTAGTCCTGGAACTCCATTAAATCCTACACCATTCCACGGCCCAGTTCGATAAGTCAAATTGCTACCCATTTTGATTGTCTTCTGGGGAAATCCCGAAGGATCAAGACTGTATGTATATTCCCCTGGGGAAGGATCATCTGAACTTTTCCAGGATGTAAGATAAACCTGTAGACCCGTGACGAAATTCCGGCCGATCTTCATTCCCGGCAGAAATGTGTCAGTCGGATGATCAAAACTCTGCCACAGAAAATTATCTGGATTGTCATCATTTGCATCTTTAACAACAAGATTCCCAGTATCCAACAACTGGGCCACTGGATTTTGTACAGCCCTTGAAGAATTGGAGGACCATATAGTTATATTCACGGCATTTTGAAGAACAAGCATTCCAGGCTGGATGATTTTCAAAGCACCTGTTGTGGTATTCAGGGGAACTACTCTGTTTGCAACCCAAACAACAGTATGGACTTTAATGTTCTTGTACCATATCCCAACGTACCTGTTGGTTGAGTTATTTGTGTTGAAAAATCCCAGTTCAAAGCTTCCCCCAGCTGAAATGATAGTTTGACCATCTTTAAGGCCTTCGCCTGCTGCAATGGTGTCTGATACACAGGAAATTTCTGGAATCAGGAACATAAGAAGAATTATTAGATGGGCAAAGGATGGAATGAAGACAGATTTTTTCATTTTCTTTTTTCCCTTTTCGGAATCCTGGAAACAAGAGGTTTGACGGGGATTACAAAAAAAAGCTCAAAGGCTCAAACTTGAAGTTGTTTTTTTGATACTTTGAGAATGCAGTTGAAATTCAAGTTTGAATTCTGGTTAAATTCAAGATTACAGAAAATGTTAGTTAGTTTGGATTATAGCAATAAAATATCTTAATATACAAGTCACGATCAATAAGTTCATCTAGTTGAATAGTTTATACTACAATTTTTTATATATGCAATGATAATGGGTGTTTTTAAAGGCTTGAAATGTTCCACCAAAAAATAATGAGCATGAATTAAAGTGATCATTCAACCGCTTGATCAATTTTCAACATTGACTACTGAAACAAACTCGATATATAATAAGATATAGTAGTAATAGTGCAAACTGCAAACAGAATTTTAAGGAGAAAACTGTTCAAACAGATGATATATATTCCTGGATTGAATTTGAGGTAACAAGTGAAGTTACTCGTTACTTTACATAGTGGCTGGTAGGACTAAGACCTACGAAAATGAAAATGAACTCAGCAAGGATTTGAACAGGAGTAAGATTTCTTCGATGATCATTTCTTTTCTTTTCTTTCTTTTTTTTTTTAATTAGAGGAAGCAAAATCTAGTAAAATATCAAATACATATTTTACCTGAAAGGCACTAACAGTATCATATTCTAATTATAACATAAAAACATATGATAACGACCTGCCTTCTAAAAACGTTATCAAATAATTTACTGTAAAGTTAGACCCTCCGTAATATGTTCAAAATCTACCATCCAATCTCTACAAAGTACAATGAAGCTCTTTGTTGGCCTTTTTTCTTTTTTTTTTCCTTCTTTTTGTACTAATGTTTTTGTTGTATTAACTCTGTCTTGGCTTTGACTGTTTGACATTGGTCACCGTAAACAGTAACGCTCATAACCTAGTCTAGCCGCAGTCTGATTTATCCACTTCGACCTTTACTGAATAATGATCGATTAAATAATTTTACCCGTGGGCCTTCACGAAAGGGGATGATGAAATACTTTTTCCCTCCTAAATTTATTGTTTAATTTGAATTTTTATTCTTTTAAAATTAATTAAATTAAACAATAATTTTAGGACGGATAAAGTATTTTTTTAATTTTTAGAAGCCGCACAAACAACTAAGTTGTAAGAGATACGTCAGAAAACACGTTATGGATTCTTCTCTTTTCGTCACTTGAGCCATTATGGTTGCAGGTAATTCTAGATTTTTATTTTCTTTATGCATATCTGCTTCTCCCTAAGCATCATCGAAACAAGAAATTAAGCGAGATTAAGTAACGTAAGCTAATTGATTTGAAGGGTCAAATGTTGGAGGGTTTCGATGTAATCTTTGAGAAATAGTTCATAAAGAACTCGGTTTACTTTATACTTCTGGCCTCTGGGCAACATGTATATTATTATTATATTATATGCTCAAACAAACCTCCCCCCACCCCATCAGAATTTTTTATAATAAAGATACAATTACAAAATTAAATTTACCAATCCCACAAACACAGATTGAATAAGTGCTGAATGTCCCTGAAAGAGATGGCAAAATTAATCAAACTGGATGGCTGAACTTGAAGATGCCATTGTCATACATGTATCTGAGTAGGATAAACAGTTAGAATACTATTTTTTCAAATAAAAAAAAAAAGAAGTTAAGTCTTCTTTAAAAACTTGGAGTATTAGTTAATATAAGCAACAGCGTAGACACGGCTTAAGATGAATTAATGGCAAATTAACACATCAGGCTCTCTCTTCAACCTCTGACAATTTTGAGGCGCGCGCGCATCTTGCTTGCTAATTCAGGTATCATCTCATTTTAAGTCAACTATCTAATCCTCACTTTTACTCTTTTTTTTTTTTTTTTTTTAAATTCCCTTTTGGTATTAACTACTTCAACTATAGATTGTACTACATCATACAATATACTTCTCTCTCCTTTCTATAGCTATTTTAATAGTGCTTGACTTTGTTCGAGACTAAGGAGTTAATATTCTTCAAAAATCCATAACTTCTACGATAAGAAAAAACCAATGAATGTATATGGCTCGATATTTTCTCTTAAGTACGTGATTCATAACACATTCCGGAAATACAAAGGATGCATAAAAATGAGGGTGACTCTTGACATAATGTGTTCATGTACAAACAAAATAATTGGTACAAAATGAGTAAATGACAAACAGTGCGCCAACATAATCATTCATAACATTCACGTGACTCTGTCCGTCCAAAATAATTGTCCAATTGATTTTTCATTTTTAGTACAATTTGAACTGAAAACGAAAATCTAATTGAACAATCATTCGGGACAGGAGGTATGTATCGTTCAGGTGAACACAATTTGAACCTATGATATGTGCAAAAAGGATTCTAACATACACATAATGATAATACAAATGTCGCCCGAAAGGCGAGAGAGCAACTACTTTAAAAATTGGTGAGCTTCATCGGGGCTCTATGGTTGTGATCATGGTGAATTCCGGGTGGGTGACCACTCTTTCCATGAAAAACCCAGGTTGTGTAGCTTCTGGAATTACTAATTCGTTTGCCAACATGTTAACTACAGAAGACATGTCGGGCCGATCCTCTGGACTATGTTGCACGCACAATAATCCCACCTTAATTGCTCTCATCACTTCCAAAGAACAGTACGAATTTCCCAGATTTGGGTCCACAAATTCCAGTGCCCTTCCATCCCTGTTCAGCATCCAAGCCTGCATAGACATTCCTTACTCATCATCACATATGCATTGATCACCAGAGGAAATGGTGTGAATATGCATATTTTTCACTCACATATCCCAACAGGTTGATGGGGTAGCCTTCGTGTAGAAATGTTCTGTTTCTCCTCCCACTGATGATCTCCAGTACTAAAACTCCAAAGCTGAATACATCAGATTTTATGGAGAATGTCCCACCTCCTGCGTATTCCGGAGAAATGTAGCCCCTGTGTCACAGTAATAATTATAAGAAATTAAGGATGGTATCAATTAGTATTATGTACTGCAAAGTGGCATTTTTAAATGCCTGATGATTCTTACTGTGTTCCGACCACCCGTTTTGTCCTGTCTTCGGTTTCATTCCCTCCAAAGATTCTAGCTATCCCGAAATCTGAGATTTTTGGTTTGAGATCGGCGTCGAGCAAGATGTTGCTTGTTTTGAGATCCCTGTGGATCACTCTAGGTTGAGAATCTTCATGAAGATAGAGAAGCCCCTTGCAAATACCATGAATTACGTAGAAGCGTTTAGCCCAGTCAAGCTTCGTGCTTCTTCTCCGATCTGCCAAAATTTTAGGCCTTAGTTAAAATACTGCCTCAATTACATATGATTAAGACTGCAGGATATGTTCGATTGATGTTTTGATTAGGTATAATTTGCATTTAGTTGCTTCTGTTTGTATTGCTGTTTTCTTTCTCTATAGATACCATTAACAATTGAAAGTTGAAATGCTAATTTAACATGAAATGAACAGAGTATGTGTAGTGTTTAGAGAGACTAACTGAAAATCCAATAATCCAGGCTTCCGTTGCGCATGTATTCGTAAATCAGGATCTTCTCTTCCCCTTCCACACAGCAACCTAGAAGCTTTACAAGATTCCGGTGCTGAAGTTGAGCTATACATAGAGCTTCATTCCTGAACTGGTCAGCGCCTTGTTCCGAAAATTTCGAGAGACGCTTCACAGCTATTTCCTGACCCTCTTCCAGCAGACCCTGTAAGAGAAGCCAATCAGGAAAGAACACAAAAACCAAGTGAAATGTGAATGAATACAGTCTGAAGTGAGTAAGTCATTTGATGATACCAAGTAAACAGGACCATAGCCACCCTCTCCAAGTTTGTTTTCAGGGGAAAAGTTATTGGTGGCTTGCACCAATCTATAGAACTCAAACTGGGGGAGCTCAATCTTCTTGCCTTCAGGTTTGTTGATGTAATCCTTGCCACTGGTACGTTTTGAAACTCCTGCAACAATATTGCGAGGGTTAGTCCTGAATCCTGGATTGAGTTATTGCCAAATCTTACTAAAATCAGCAAACATACTATATCGCTTGAATTTTTACCTTCTGGCTTTATCTTGGGGTGCTTTCTTATCCTTCTGTACTTATACAATATCAGGCCGATCCCCAACAGAACCAGAATAAGGATTGATAGTGGCAACAACCAGACGAGTATACTTCTTTTTTTCTTTCCATCAGGCTGAACATTGGCTGCTGTAGGTGTATCAGGGATTGCTGCATGATTAAAGAGTTGATGACGTTTTGCATCATAGAAAACTAAAAGGAGGTGATGAAACCCACAAGAACAAAGTTCATTATCTATCATCAGGCAATCAAATTTAAGAAAATATGCTACCTAACTCAGAAGAGGGCATCCTGATATAAATATCCTGACCGGCAGCGGACACTCTCATGTCGATTAAGTCCCCATACCAAAGCAAGCAGACAGTTCCGTCCTTCATGGCTAAGTTTGAACATGCAGTACAAGTGCAATTTTCCAAGCACCATGATTGGCATTCCTCCAGAGATATGTTTCCCCTGGTGGTTGAATTCTGTACATTTGGCAATTTGAGGCCTGGAGACTTCAGAAATCCATCTCCGCTGCTACAATTGAATGGTGTCTTCCTAACACAACCCTCTGACCAATTTCCATTGTTCCAATTCTTAAAATTCTTGGGCTCAAACTTCTCCAAGCATTCACAAGCAACAGAATTTGTAAAAATACATATTCCATTTGCTCCACACGATCCATAAGCATCACAGGCATCTGATGGTGCATTCAAGTAAGTACTCCAACCTGGGCTTTGAATCTCGTATTTCTGTCGATGACCCTCGCCATTTGTATCCAAGGTAAACCTCGAAAGAGTTGAGCTGACAAGCATGAAAGTAAAGTAAATTTCCTTACTGTTGTTGACAACATCAAAAGTAATTATATTACTATCTGTCAATCCTGGAACCCCATTAAATCCTTTGCCAGTCCACGGCCCTGTTCGATACTTCAAATTGCTACCATTTCTAATCGTCTTCTGAGGGAATCCAGCGGGATCAAGACCGTATGTATATACCCCTGGAGCAGGATCGTCTTCGGCCTTCCATGATGTAAGATAAACCTCATGACCCGTGACGAAATTCCGGCCAATCTTCATTCCAGGCAGAAATGTGTTAGTCGGATAATCAAAACTCTGCCACAGGAAATTCTCCGGGTTGTCATCATTTGCGTCTTTGACAACAAGGTTCCCGTTTTCCAGTAATTTTGCCACCGAATTTTGCACGGCCCTTGAATTATTAGTGGACCATAAGGTGATATTCCTGGAATTTTGAAGCACAAGAATCCCGGGCGGGATGATTTTCAAGGTACCCGTTGTAGTATTCAGGGGAACTGCTCTGTTTGCAACCCAGACATTATCACCATTAGGATCTTGAATGTTCTTGTACCATATTCCAACGTATCTTCCGACTGAGCTATTTGGGCTGAAAAATCCCAGCTCAAAGCTTCCATTAGCTGAAATAATAGTTTGACCGTTTTTAAGGCCTTGAGCTAACGTTATCGTATCTGTTACTACACAAGAAATGTTATGAATCAGGAATGGCAGGAAAATTAGTAGATGAATGAAGGATGAGATGTGGGCAGATTTGTTCATGGTTTTAGTTTCTGGATTTGCTGGGAAAGAAGTGGAGCTCAATGTAATTCCAGAAGAATATGATTGAATTTGAAGATTGAATTCGGTTTCATTTGCAAATAAAAGACTTTTGTTGCATTATAGTAGTAAATTATCTTCACCACAAGTCACAGTCAGTGTGGTGTTTTGGCGTATCACGGTAGGATGATCAAGATCTCATTAGTTCATTAATTAATCAATTTGTTTCTAAATTTTTGTTTGCATATTCTCAACTCTTAATGAAAATGCATGTAATTTAAGACTTCAGAAATATTCCACTGGAATGTAGAATGAATTCCACGAGGTCTTGAGTTTCCAACGCTTACTAAATTTGGTTTAAGCTCAGTGGAGTGATACAATCTTTTGATGACTTGCTAATAAGTACAAAAACTTGCATTTTCAAATGCGAAAACGGTTCAAATAGATATACATGTTTATTGGGGTTGAATTCTAGATAAGGGAAATTGCTCCTCACTTTACATCTTCGCCGGCAGGACTCTGGCAACATACATTCATAGACTTTATGCAAATCTTCAAAGAATCTAACTATGGAAAATATCTTCTGACAATTACTGATTGATTAATCATAACACTGGGCCACGTGGCAAATCACACAAACATAATTTGATCATCTAATATTTTACCACCCCAGAAAAATAATGACTAAAAAAAGGCTCATAGCTATTATATTAGCTCTCAAAGCAATAAATCATTATACTACCATAATTACCCCTAGTTAGTCCACGTATCCTATTTCCCGTATAACTCGAGTTTTAATTTATCTCTTCCCAATTAACATAGGCACAAATTTAGCTGATGACCATCATCCTCTCAGTTCCTTCTAAACCATTGCCTTTCCAGTTACAACGCTTTCTATCCCCATCCGTCATAACCAGAGAGTCGTCTCCTCGCTGTGGGTGGGCCGGAGATGGAAATGATGCGGACTCTTATTTAGATGGATGAAGATTCCGATGTTACCAGTATGATTTGAAGGATGCTCATTGAGACATTGCTACCGACCGGCTCCTCCAGAACAAAAGACTCAAACCGTCAAACGGTCATTGTGTCCGAGCGTAAGGAATACTAAACTCTCTGAAATCATCTCCGTGAATTGCCTTTCAATGACGATATATACTCCTTCTGTTTTTTTTTTTTTAAAAAAAATTTCACATTGTACTAAAAATAAAATAAATTACAAAACTTAATATAGACTTTTTTTTTTCTTTTTTGGCTTCAAAGGGAGTATCGATTTGTTTACCGTTCTCATCATCATTGTTCTTCTTGGTTGATATTCACGCAAGAACCACAAATTTGAAAAATAAAATAAACAATTTTTTTACTGATATAGTTCATCATGAAGATCGAACCTTAAATTTGAAATTAAAATGGTTCTCTTAGTGATGTGTTCCATTTTATGGATTCTTTCTGATGTAAGGATCAATAATTTGTGAATATGTGATTTCTGTTGTGCTTGTTACTGATCCTTCTAGTTTAATTCTCTGTAGAAACTATAGAGAAGCCGCCACCATTGATTCGAAAATCTCAAGCCTTCCCCTCTGAAATAATGTGCAATGAGATAAGAAAAATGATCGATCACCCCACCCCGTCTCAAGATAGGCAATAATTCTGGGGAGAAGAACAGGGGAAAAAGTTGAAACTAAGAAGAGAAGAAAATAATAGATAATTGAGAAATTTTGGATAAAAGGAGGTAGAGAACAAATTTAATAAAGAGGGCACCACTTTCGAATAATTTACATTAGGAGCATTACTATTCAACTATATAAACATGGCTTTACATATTAAAAAACTTATTAATATCAATTTAATTACTTCGAAAGTTTATTGATTTATTTTTTCGTAAACCTGATTACTGATAGTATAAGAATACTGAAGTAGTTATTGATTAGAAAAACTTAACATAATAAATATTTCTATTATTAAATTTTAAAAATTTTACTAATATAAAATATACGATATTAACTTTTTTGAAGAAATTATATTAATTTAAGTGCCGTAAAAATATTGCTCATTTAAATATAAGGTTTTGGAAAAAGAATTTAGACAATTTTGATTAATGTGAAAGCAAAAAATTATTTACTTTAATAAAATTAACATTATATAGAAACATAAAACCACCTACTAAAAATTAGAAAATATAGATATTTATTTTTAAATTCAACATATTTATATTATTTTCATATTACTATTGATATATTATGATTTATGCACTTTGAAAACAGAATTTAATCTATGTGTAAAAATCAAATGAAGGGAAAAAAAAAAGATTTGATTTCAAGAGTTAGAGTCATGTTTGCATTGTTGAACGATTGTGCCTTTAATACAAATTATCGAAGAGTGTTGCTCTCTTTATTAATTATTTTTTATCTACTGCCCTTAATCCAACTTTTCCCTAGATAATTAAGCTAGAAAGGAGATAAGTAATTTGACCACTCAAAGGCAATCTTGTTAAAATAGAGATTTATTGCTCTGGAAGTTAATAATTGCTTTGGCAATATCACTCATCATAAAACAAAACTTGGTGATGCATGGATCATAGTCCCCTCCCACCTCAGGAGTTATTATTCTATGGATAAAATATAATGGTATTCTTCATTAATAAAATATATTAATTGTTATAGCTTCTACCTCCTCTTTGGTACCTACGGTATTAGTATGCTTACACTATTTTTTAGTGTGGAACTTTTTTTTTTAAGGACGTAAGGAAGTATGTTTTAAATTATTATGGATGATCGACCAATAACCTATTTCTTCTTACTACTTCCGGAAATTGATATATATAGTAAAAAAATACAAGTGAATACAAAATAGTTATTGACGTGGAGTATTATATTTCTCCCATTTTGTTGTCACTTTCCCCTTAAAATTTTATTATTTTCTTAAAATTACACTTTTATCCTTGATTATAAAATACACATTAGTGACAATAGATTTTCAGTACTTTAGTTTCATTGTCTCTATCATTGTTGTTCCACTCCCTCATATCTTATATCAAGAGACCATTTTAGATTTGTATTATTTTTAATACAAATTTTACATCTTAATGCCAGACTTTTTTTTTTTTTTGGCGACATGGAGAGTAATAATGTATGAAAGTGAATTTTAATATCGAGTCCATGGATTTAATCGTCACGCGCAAGCAATAATTAATTGTCGGGGGTAATTCTTGACATTCAACAATTAGTTATGAATTCTTGATATTAATTGTCGGAGTAATTAAATGCTGTCTTTGATGTTATAACTCACTTGATTAAGGTACATTATATTAATAAAGGTATATATACCTGCAGATTAATGTAGAAATTTATATACAAACTCAGGTTGAATGCAGAAAGAGACAGTAGATTGAATATATCAGGAAAGAGTTGGCGTACGATGCTATTTGCTATCAGGCATGTATCTATCTGATTAGGCTAAACACAGTTATGAAACACATGGCTTAGTTGCGAGGTGGTCATTTGAAATCTGTAGAGGTCCCCAATCCATCATTTGTGATGGGTAAGTTGAAAGAGCAGGCCGTGGAGCCTCCGGAATAGTTAGTAACGTTGTTTCCCAACA